CTTCTGGGGATATCTTGGCGTTGAATTCACCGACGATGACTTCGAGGAGAGCGTGATACTACATATCCGTGTAAAGCCCGGCTCCTCTTTTTCGTTACTTGATCTTGGTGCATAAGTAGCGAAGATTATTGTAGCTGGGATTGAGCCGCATCTTCCTAGTCGCGAACGCTCGACTCGGATCGTCAAGCGATGTTCTTGGCAAAGTGCGGGGGGACGGGCGTTAGGAACGATTTTGGGTAATCCATTTGCCGCACGCGGCTGTCGCGGACCACTCATTCGCCGTTATTACAGCTCTAGCGTTCTTCATACAGCTCAATCGATCATTATTTTATGCATAGTTCTACTATTAGTACTTTTGTTCTTGTGTTTCCTACCTACTTCTGCATCCTGCTACATTCCTCCGCGCGCGGCGCCCCTCTCACCGCTACGCGACCATTTCGTTCCTAACGCACCACACCCCAAAGTGCGTACTGACGAGAACGCTACACCACCGACCTTCTACTATCGCATATCAGAAGGAAAATTTCCTACCGTTATGAAAACGGCGAGCAGCGGTCGATGTTCTCCCGTCTCGGTCAGTCCGACGTCGTACTTGGTTTGTTGTTTGAATTATCAACATTTTTTCTATACATGCATCCTATGTAAACAATCATGTATGGAAAGTACCTTCGCCACCTTGGCTCTTCTTTTTCTGGAAGCCTGTTATAGCCCTGACATCAGCTTCTGCTGATACTAAGTTGTCCGACCCCACGCTGCTGTATTGGGGCTCTCAGGTTCAAGAGAATTATCCCCATTGATATGACTGTTTTTAGCATGTGGGTACTCACGAGCAAATGCCAGCAATTGCCATTGCTGCGTAAACTCGTCACCAACCGTGCAACGGTGGAAGAATCCCAACTGAATGAGGTCCGTAGCCATTTCAAGTTAGTTGTCATTAACAACAATATTCCTGGCTCATGAAAGGCATTTACTCCGTATTCTGAACTCCAGCATGGTTGAGGGTGACTCATTACGGCTGCTGGTCAGTACTGCAGCATATTACAATATTTGGTCGCGAACCGTCGGTTGACGACGAGTTTGTAGCAGGATTATATGTTAGGTATAAATGGTAACTTCACAGTAAACGTATTCAGGGATAAATCACACCCTGATCAAGTTCAAAATAATTCGTTCGGCGAACTGGAATCAGAATCCATCTACGTTTTCGCAAGAGAAAGGCTGGCGCAACCACCGCCTTATCCCCGAATCATAGATATCATCAATGATTAACTTCTCCACGGTATAACTTGATTTGAAGTGTTGTTTTGTTAACTGCGTTTAGTAAAACACAGTACACTGCTATTATTTCGCCGCAGTACGCTTCCGAAAGTCTCACAAGGTTGAAGGGAAATTCAATTCGGACATGTTCGAGTTCCATCCGAGACTGAAGTTTTGCCCAAAAATCGCCAATCTTGCGATACTCCACGGTGAATCAACTGGCAATTCCTGGAGGGACGTAAAATAATGTTACGCTCTCAGCCATTTCCTCTTCCACACAATTATTATTAAAGTTCTTCAATTACGAAACAACATCTACACTTTTCTCGATTAGAGCGAGGTTTGGTTAGGTAGGTTGGGCGAGAAGCGTTGAGTGGTGATATGTAAAACTTCCGCGAAATTGGAAAGTCAGTCGCTCTGGATTTATTTTGATCGAATAAACGAGCTCAAAGGAAATCCGAATTGAAAAATATCATCTAGACAAAATTGTAATTGTTGATTGACTGTGAGAAAGATAGTAAAGTGTGAAATGCAATCTGGCTATGACATGCATCAAAAGACCTGCGTAGATATGACGTGGAAGATCGACTAAAAGAAACTCCGTTATGGTATTGGCAGAACCGCCGTTTCTACAGCGGCTACTACCGTCGCGTTCCATGGATGGCCTTGGCCGCCGATCGCTAGTGGATCAATAGGCCGGGTGTGGACTTCTCCATGGAACAAAGGTCTTTCGCGAATCTTACTTTGATGTTATGAATAAAGGCTCTATATGGTTGCTCTGCCTACAAATAGCCTACATTCGAGTTTCTTTCAGATGTGATTGATGATATTATCCTTACTGCTATATATATAATTCATTATATATAATCTACAAGTTTGGTATGTATGTATGTATGTATGTATGTATGTATGTATGTATGTATGTATGTATGTATGTATGTATGTATGTATGTATGTATGTATGTATTAAAATAATTGCGATCCGGAAACGAATAGAAATCTAATTAAGCCAACATATTTCAGAAAAGTGTTTATCACTACTCTCTTATCAAAATGGTACATTGAAAATAGTATTTCTCACCTTCTGATTTCATCCAACCCCAGAGACGACGATGGACAGCATTGGCGGTGGCACGCAGCTAAGATCATCGAGTTGATCCCGGCTTCTTGCAAGGCATTTTCGAGATTATTTCACTACTTGTTTGAACTGACAGATGCTTTCATCTCAAAGAATGACCACACTTAGACATCTATGGGATTTAGGTCAGGGTCCAGAGTGGTCACTGATCGAAGGTTGTGAAGTCAGGGAATCCCATTTACGGAACTTCTAGACAATTTCTGATCTGCGTTCTTGTCATGATGTCCGGTTTAAATCATCAAAGTGTCTTATTGTGCACGAAGAGATTGAACAAGAATCCAAATCAACTTTCACTCCGTACGCTTAGTGCTGATAACCTATGGCATGAAAGCCATTAAGAAGGACAGGACAAGCAGGGTCTCGATGCTGAGGGATAAGTGCACGGTGCACATATTGTTGAGTTCTGTCCGAGACCAGAGTTATGTCCATGACCTTGTCGAACTTTCGTATCGCCTACTGCGGCGAAATAAGAGCAGTTAACAAAACGAAGTCAAGACGCTTCTTAAACTTTTTCTGGTTTTCATTTAGGTTATCGTTTACGTTTACTGCACTCATTCAAGTACAGATTGGTTTCACACGTGGAATATATGACTTTTATTTCCAACATTGAAATATCACACACGGGAAATCATCTTGGAACAGGAACGAATGAAAAACAACACTGGCAAGAGCTCTAAAAGTGCTTTCTACAGTCTCCTCTCTACAATCATGCAAGAATAAATCATGTCTCAATTATCTCAAGATCGAAGGTGGCACTTGAAAGGTAAATCAAAATTTTGACCCAATACATCAATCAAATCCTACAAAACAATTATATGGTTATCATATCTCATAAAAAAATAGGTATAGAATTTCCGTGCTAAAATATTATCTTGAACAAGTATGATGAACCAGACAATGTTATGGAATCATTTAAAAATAAATAAAAATATCTATAAGTGATGGTAAGATACCCCGCTCTTTGAAAAGGAAGCACTACTGCTACACGAAGACGCTTGTTGGCGTGGCATAAGACTGCGCCTATCCGCTCACACAATCTCCTAACTCTGACCAAGCATGCCCCGATCGTCCGTAACGTTCTTGGGATTTTCACAGGGCTTTTTTGTCTCTCACATTTTAAACAACATTCCAAACCATATCAACATACCTAGTCAAAGCTCGTGAGAAGTCGAAACCATCTGATGGTAGGGGTGCTCTTCGTTGCGCGCGTCCGTCGAACTAGGTCACGCCGCAGCATTCGCATGCGGCGGGTCAGCCCGTGATACTTGACAGGCGTCGTAGTTCTCAGTGGGGCATACGATTTGCTTGGTCCACGGCAGTCAGCCAAAAAGAAGAACACCTGGACAGCTGCAAATCATTCGCTCCTACTGTAGTGTCATCTTGAGACCTCAGTGGAGTGCGCCGCGCGCGAAGTGGGCGGGGTGAACTACTCTCGACGGATGCGCGCAACGGACGTTCGCCCTGCTTGTAGTAGGCTGCCACTAGCAAGTATGGCGTCCTTTTGTAAGAGGGTAGGGAGAAGGGCAGTGGAACATTTGTGTATTTTCCATGAGTTGGGTAAGGATGGGATAGGAACATATGATCTATGCTCGTCTGCTATGCATAACGTTGAGCTTTAAACGAGAACAGGAAGACGACTACGGTACTTTTTCGCGCTCTAGTAATGAAAAAAACTAGCGGATATCGTGAGGTATTAAACCTCTTTTCGGCGACTTGCTTTCAGAGTTCAACGACGTGCATTGCTTCACCGGCATGTTGACAATGCAAGACAGATTGCGCCTGATCAGTATACATCGGTCTAGCGTTGTCAGCACGCGGCCAGCAAAGGATCGTGGTCGATGAAACAATACACGTCGTTGAACATCATGAAGCACCCATTTTCTTGGCTAGTTGCCCCTAAAATGATTTTATTTATTCATTTATCTTTGCACTCGTTGGTGCGCTAAGCCTTCACAGAGTGGGTTAATATCGATATAATGATCGAAAACCAAACAGAAGAAAAAAATAGCTAAGACGAAACCAAGTAATTCTGCTGTAGGCCTAACTCGAAATATTTCTCAGTGTATAGGCGGACAGCGCAGTATATAGGATGGTAATAGATTGGACCCGTTTTGAATCGGTCGGGTGGAGTGACCCAAGTTTCGGCGATTTTGTGATCAATGGAGTGTGGCGGTTGCGTTGCCACTTACTGCTCATTGTACATCGGCGTAGCAGGCTTGGGATGGCAACAGTGGATTGCTTTGCACCATGGTACATGCCTGGAAGTCCCGTTCTAGTGCTAAACATGGGCCACGTGAATGCGACGACTCCAGATAGTCCTCGATTATTCAAAAAAGAATCAAAAAGAAGCGTCCTTGGGGAAAAACAAACCACACTTGGTTGCTAAAAAATGTCAGGCTTGGAGCACAGTCGAGCCAGTAGAGTATGTAATTGCTGCGCACGGCGGCTACATTGTTGCCTTTTTTTCCTATTCTTTGTAGAGGAACTCTCTGCATGTTAGTCGAAGTGAATTTATGAAGCACCTCTTCCCAGACATATCTACGGGGCCTACAGTACCTACGAGGTTGTTCCTGTCCTTATATAATATCACAATTTATTTTCCTGTTTATTTGCCTGAATAAGTTATGTTCGAACATATATTTTTATAATAAGGTCTCATTTTATGGAGACCAAAAGGAGTGAAATGGAAATAGCCGTTGAAATTCAGAATCCTTGCATCGTTATCAAAAAACTGAAAGGTTTCATTTATGGTGAACACCGGTGAGTAATCGATCATAGTGCACTTGGAGCAGTTTTGAATAGATCGCTCCAGCAGTTCACGAGCAATTCCAACATTGACGCTTTTGTTCACGACAGTGGCCTGAAGACGTCTTGAGCTATGTTCACGTTGATATTCTATCCAATTTTTTATTTCATTTCGTTGGCGATTAGTAAGTCAGCTTAGGCGCATGCCCCGCCATCTACACAAACAAAGCTTTTTTTCCAACTGAGTATAGGCAAGTTTCTAGGATATTCCTCGAAACATGTTGTAAAATTTCCGAAGTGGTTGCTTCAATATCCCCTTCTACATGTGTTTCCAATCTGCATAAGTGGTAGCATAACATCAACCCCTCTTTTGCCTAATTCTTTCAGTACAGGATTGTATTTCTTACCCCCACTGGAATCGGATTCGCACTGTATTTTCAGACTGTTTCATTCTGAGCTAGGATGCAAACTGTTTTTTGGTTGCTGTCTCAAACCGTTGCGACGAAATATTCTGTGGAACATTTAATGAATAAGATACCGGATCAATAATCTGTTCCATCAAGATTGCCTGCTGACACCGCCATTCAAAACCAAGCACAGGGCGTGGTATAGCCTGTTGAACGAAGATGTTGCTGCTGACAAATTGAGAGAAACCTCTCAGAACCTCGGCTCCCTCCTTCGCCATCCTTTCTATCATCAGTTCGTTCGTAGGTGAATGTATTTCCAAAGCATTTATATACCTGAAAAAATTCAACAAGTTCAGTGGCTGACCAGGGAAGGGTTTCAACTTTTCTTGGAACTTTGTATAGAGATCTAGATATATCGATATATATCGATGGTTTTGGAAAGTTATTAACAAATGTGGAAGTTAAAACTGCAAAATGAGTCTACCAAAAAAGTTATGAGCTTTCAAAGTATACATGTTAAAGCATGGGATATAGTGCCAGTTGATAAGTGCAATTGCCCGCACCATCTACAAGAGTCACCGGGGTGTAATGGCAGGTTCTCTCGTTACGAAAGCTCCTGAGCGTTTTTCTTACTAATTTAAGTCAGCGCTATGTTTCGGCTATCGTCTGCGATCACCTGTTCTATCACCCAACTTATTTGAAATTTCTCCACGTCATTTTTGTAACACTCTTTCACTTTCAACACCGAAGCACACGTACCCACACCCAAATAGAAAGGTCTTGGACACGCAAAAAAAAACTCAACATATGAAACAACCCAAAAATGAGTATAGAAAACTTGTCTTCTTATGTCTCGAATCGAGTGTTTTTCCACGGCCATAGAGAGACAGCATTGTACATATAAGGTCCGCATTTCGTGAGCAACATATCTGCTTCACTCATTTCTTGGATTGTTTCATCGATATTCAGTTTTTCATGTATATCTATTTTAAGTGATTCGGGTTTCCCCCTCCACCTCGAGAAATTTTAAATAAGTGCGGTGATAGGCGATAGATAGGTGGTTGGAAATGATAGCCGAAACAAAGAGCTGACTCAAATCAGTAAGAAAAAACGGTTCAGGAGCTCTAATTTGGATGGGTGAAAATGTAGTTGGGGGGGGGGGGGGGGGGGGGGGGGGGGGGGGGGCACCCAGCCGAAGGTTGGTATATCAAGAAATGAACTCATTCTGACATGTTAATCCTTGTTATATTAGCAATGCACCAGAAGCGGAGGGCATGATGGGCACCGACCATCCGTGCTCTTTTATGCTGTTTTAGCCAAGGAAATGTAGTTTTTCAACGGAGCCTAAGTAAGGTAGGAACACCTGGACGGGTGGGTGGGGTGATTACCTCTTGCAAAAAGAAAGAAAAAAGGAAAGAAAACTAGCCCGCCGCGGTGCTCCTTCCCTCCTAAAGCTTATTTAAAAACTGGCATGTGCCTGGTGTAACAAGGCATAACACGTTAGACTGAGTTCATTCCTTGATATACTAACCTTCGGATGGGTGGCCCCACCAAACTTACATTTCCACCTTTGGATGAAAGCACCAAAAGCGAAAACGACAGCGGGGAGCGACCCCTCATCGCTCATCTAGAGAGGGAGAGCACTTTCACTACACCACGGTGACCCTTGGAGTATATATTTGATAGGGGTACAGGTAAAGTATGGAAATGTTGGGAAGTGGTGGGACTAGACTCACTAGGGCTTATCGTTCAAATTTGTTAAGGGTACAGGCGGCCTCATTGGGACACTGATGGTAGATGGTAGATAGAGTGATTGAACTGTATCTCATCTCTCAGATCAGTGTCCCAATGAGGCCGCTCATGGGGTAATGGGGATGCAGGTGGATGAGTGACTAAAATGAGGTGAGTCCTTTTTTGGCATCGCTCCTCGTTTCAACATTTCTCACATGACAGTATGTTGGATTGACAGACAGATCAACGATGCGTAGACAGGTCAACGACAAATCTCTAGCGGTCGTCTTGTCTCTTATACGACACCTTTTCCGAATAGAACTGCTTAGGAGTACGCTGCGGAACTTACTCCGAGTGAATGCAAGTGTATCCCGATAAGATTTGAAAGCTTTATATTAGGCGTGTGGATTAATTTCCGCCGTTTTTCGCGTGCAAAAACATACTTAGTACAAAATTAAAACTAAATATACATCAACCAATGTATTGCCCATCGTTAGCTACAATTTCTTGCCTTCTTCCTGGTATCTTGTTGACTTCGGGTCTAAAAAAGTCTTCATCTTTTGAGACAATCCCGTTATCCACCCATTTTCGCACTTCTTCGGCGTTCCGGAAGCGTATATCTTCCAAACTGACTTGCATGGACCGGATTCAGAAAGAGCGAGATCCGGAGAGTATGCGGGCTGAACAAGCTGGTCCCATCCAACAACTGCAATTTTTTAAAGTACATTCTTCGCAACGTGGGGTCTGGCATGTTCGTGGTGGAATGGCACCTCATGATGTTTTCTTGCGATTAAGGTGAGCTTTTAGGTGAGAGCATCCTACAAACTGTCAAGTTGGTGTTCGTAGCGGTCAGCAGTAACAGTTTCGTTCGGGCTCAGCAGCTCATAGTTCAAAACACCCTTTTGATCCCACCACCAAATGCACGCATTGCATTACTTTTTGGCAATAAACATTCCACTTTCGTTGCAAGCTCTCGAGTGAAGAGAAGCTATTTCAGCAGGTTCGTTCAGATGAAGCTTGTCCTCCATAGAAGCATCCGGCGGGCTTCAATGCCAGTTTTCTTGGAATCAAACAGCAGGGGAAGGGCACCCCGGGAAAACGGTTCATCGCGTTCCACGGCTCTTGGAATTCGGCGGCGGAAATTAATGCACACACCTTTCTCGAAAGAAGAATTGAAAGTAAAAAACAAATGCCATGTGCAACTTGCGCGCGGCACGCCCTTCGACAGACTTCTCCTATGTATTATAAAGGCCCAGATCGCAAAAGTTTCCTCTCGCCTGTGTCTATAAGATTTCTATACTCTTCTGAAGAAGTAATACAATCAGGACTTCCTATGATTTTTCACGAAGTTGCGTCTCAGCCCTAAATGTGCCCTCAAAGAAGGGTTCTGAACCATTCTCAGAAATGGTGGTCCTGCTTTTTGTTTAGCCCCACCTCTACACTCACACACCAGTGGAGTCATGCACTTAGCCAGGTACTGCGTACAGTTGGGATCCATGGTACTACAAATTAATCAGCATTATCGGGCTCTTATGGCAGGTATAGCTGTTTGGTGTCTACAAGAGGAGTGAGTTTGTCTGAATTTTTCCAGACACTCCATCATGAAGGCTTACCAATTTCGAAATTGATTTTTCTGGTCAAGTGTGTACTCGAAACACTGGCTCCGCCCGAATTCTTCTTATGTGTTTCAGTTTTTTTAGAATCGATACGCTCTTTCATGTTTCGAGTATCATCTTGATTCATGGAATCCGTAGGTTTCTTTTGGTCGTTCGGGATTTCATTCTACTACCGGGTGTTAAACTGTTGTCGAAAAGAATAACTCACCGAACCAAAATGAACAGAACGTCAGGTTTGTACTCCTTGATGGCTTCCATGTACACTTTGCTTGAGTTGTGACAATGCCAAAACTCGCGTGTAGTGCTGAATACTTCACAGCCTATAATTACTAGATCACCCTTTAGGTTCTATACTTAGGTGCAATCCAGTGATTAACTCTGCTATAAACCCTGTGTAGAGGCTAACTTGATGGTCACTTGTTCAGCCTCTCTTGTCTCCTTTCAGTCACGCTTTTACAGAAATAACATCTCTCGTATCTCCGCACACTCTTCGAGACGGTTGACCAGTCAGCTTTCATCTGTACTGAATTGCTCCGATCTCTTGTCCGAGTGTAGCTTTTGAATGATCATCGCTGAGGTATACACTGTCGGTGATGTGCAATAGTGTCGGCTAGTTTTAGATAATACCTTCTGCTCCAACGAACTTCCAACCCGTTGTGCACTAACCTTCGTGATGCTATGCTCTAATCATGTACCTGCTACCTTTTTTATACCCCTTTTATTCCAGCTCATTTTCGTGCATCACCTTTGACCTTGTTGAGGTCGTTTACTTCCACAGAAAAACACAGTCTGTGAGGGTTTCCTTACTGCCAATACTTTACTTCAATTTTAGCTAGGGCTTTTTTGACTCCTCTCGAGAGTTTTTGCCAAATACAGAAAGTAGAACTTGAGAGTTCAAATAGAACTTGGAAGCTTCGCGCTCAATCAGATCAGCAAGTTTTCTCAGCTTCGCTGTCAGCAATTCCATCTAACAATAAGCTTTCTTTTGTTCAAAATCGTTCATCCTCACTGACCTTAAGTAATAACGTCAGGGTTCGGCCTGCTACGTTCCATTTCGCTCTAGCTTTATTAGCGTCACTTTGTCAACCATTAGGATCGAACAGCGGCCTAGATAGGCGCAAAGAATGGCATCTTTCACAGTCCACGACCGGTCACGGACCCATCTCACGAGCCACCGGCGACCGGTCGTGGACTATGAAAGATGCCAATCTTATGCAATTTACACATCTCAGGCGACGAGTTCCTCTGGGGGATGGTCCGCCCGAGGACGCGCGCGGCGAAGGTCGTGACGATTTTCATGACTCTTACGCCATTTTTCGGGGCACAAATTCTAAATAGAGTAGTTTATTAGGGTCAGATGGTCCTTATAATCTATTCTACTTCGAATTTGGGCCCCAATGATAGGCGCTAAAGTCGTTTAAATAGTTACGAACTTCGCCGCGCAATTTGCCGCGCGCATCCTCGGACGTACGTTCGTACACATACCCGTTCCTTTGGTGTGTGAAAGCTGTAGTGGTTCGCACCATTCGCACAAGGACCAACACGTTGCACGTGGGCAGCTTCTTGTAGCCAGCTGTTTACGAAGACACGCACATTTGAACAGCTCCAAATACCCCTCCCATGCAGCGCTTGTCGTCACATTCTCCCTCTGATTTTACTACTTTCTCCAAAACCCCCGATTTGACTACTTCTCGAGGACTTATACCTTTCCAAATACGACGAAAAGGTCTGGCAATCTGGGCTGAACACAGATTTCTGAGTCTTTGTTGCGATTCCGCAGAATACGGTTCTAATCCAGCAAAGATGAAACCGTGGCCTTCTTAAGTGTGTACATGAATTCTGAGGATGGGAAGGCTTAACGGTCTGGCTATTCTTTGCGATAAGCAACGATTTCACCACAGGGCGGTTGGTTCGAGCGTTAGATGGCGACTGTAACCGACTAACTCTGTAAGAACTGTGAAACCACGTCTATTGACATGTGAGCCAACTAAAAAGAAGACAAACCTGCCATAGCGAAGATTTTTATCTCGGTTTCAGGACTTCTGCACATTTCATATACCACCCGACCTTGATTAGCCGCGTAGCTATTGCCAAGAACGAGAATTTTATGTTTCACCGTTCCTCTGAAGTTCCACTGCAATTGAGAGCACACTTATCATGTCATCGTTGGAGACACTATTTGATGTACATATTATTTGTCGTCACCCTGCATGATCTCGCCCTCGAAATAGAAATAATACTATACTAATACTTTACGCATGCTCGCCTTTGCTTCGGGTCGATAGGAAAGATGAGATCGCGCAGATGATGTTCATCTCTGAAGTTTGATTACGCCCTTTCAAGAATATTTTGCGCCTCAAAACAGGTCTTAGGTAAACAGGTAATCTGTAGCGATTTTAGTGCTCAAAAAGCTCAGCTATTGTGACTATCGGTCATATTATCCAGGAAGCTGTCTTCGATAAAATCTTTTTATACGCCTCTGTATCACATACCTCAGATGGTAAATCGCACCATCCCCATGGACCTCCTCCAATCCTGTAAGAGCATTTAGAGTATGACAACATATGGACGTCATCCAAGGAGAGCAGTTTATTAAGGCGAAACAGCTCCTCTGAAAGGTCTGTTGTTAATGATGACTCCGTAATTCTCCTTTCTGCAAAAATACTACACTGCATTTTGAGAATTATAATTTTCTCACTGATATGTATCTGTATATGTGGACTGGCTAATTAGAGATCAATGTTCATTACTTAGTTCCATGGAAGACAAAGGACCTTGTTAAGCGAATGACGAAATGCTGGTCAGTCGTCGGGAGTGACGTTCGCCTGACATGGTGATGAGCTATGATTGCATTTTCGCAGTTCGACAAGCATTCGTTTGATCGTTTCATCTCAGAGCTACCGAGTGCCGATATCATTATTGCACTCGTATTCAAAAATCGTTGGCGAAATTCAACCAAAGGAACGACTTCGATGAGAGAGTGACACGCTTTTTTCACTGTGCTTGCTAGTCCTTTCGCAAAACAGCTGCTCTATAGTAGAATCCTCAATTGGTTTTTATGAATTCTGTAAGCGTGCTTTGTTTGGGAGCTGTGAAGGTGTTAAATGGAGCGCTGACTTTTTATGATTCCTTTTTACGTTCCTTATGCTAGATTGTAGGGCGAGTTTATTTCAGACGTGCTTGAACAGTGGCATTCTCTGTCACCAGTTGGGCTATACACGCTAACGCGCAGGTCACATTAAATAATCGATCAACTCATCTGGATACGCAGTGCAGCGATTATAGCAGCACTCGACATAGAAATTACTTTAATGATTGGCTCACAGAACTTCACTTCGTAGGAAGGTAAAAGGAGCTCATTCTATCGCTGCTAAAAGTTGGATGTGCTCACCATCTTTATTAGTAAAGTCTCTTGAAGAAAGGCCTAGGGACTCTTTATACCTCAAGGACGGGTGACTGTATCTTTAAGTATCTGTCATTAATAGGGGCTCCCAGATTATTAGCGGTCGGATGAGTTCTGTAACGAATGATATCGAAACAGAGAGAAACCGCGATCGCAAACTTCGCTGGGTAGCGGTCGTAAGCCAAGAAGTGAACCAAAATTCATAATCGATCCCTATCAGTGCACTCACCCTCCTTGTCGACTGAAACATATCAAAGATTCAAAGCTACATCGTAGATAATAAAGGCGCTTGGATATAATTCGTGATTGGATCGCTCTATAAGGTCTCCTCTATCAGTGTTTTCATCCTGCCTTCTTTGCTCCTACTGATATCGCTCTCCAAGTGTACGAGATCAGTAGTTTTTGCTCAGACATTTACTCGCGGAAACCCCTTCCCCTGTGGGCGCGGTCCGGCCCTACTGCCCAACATAAGTGTTCACGTACTGTCGCCTCTTCTACCGAGTTTTCACGCCATAGTAATTGAGAATGTTCGCGTACAATCCGCCTCCTGTGGATGCGGTCCGGTCCTGCCACCCGCCACAAATGTTCCCATCCTACCTCCTGTACTCTTACCAAATTTGAACGCTCTAGGTCCACGGAGACAGGAGCTCTGATATTCATT